TATTGGTAAACTTCCCTCCCCCCCACTTAGAATCAGCACTCCTTGATGATTCTTGCACAAACCAATTTTTACTATACTTGCAAAATTATTACTTTCCACTCCATCCCTCTGTTCCTTTTACCTGTTGACTTTTTCCCTCTTTCTACATGTATGTATGTATTTACTATCAGTGTGGATCATGGATTTCTATTTTTTGAATGGTTTATCATTTATTACTATCCTAAATTGTTGTCAAATTTTCCCAGATTCATTCAGTGGAAGCCCCTTCAAGCTGGCTAGTGTGTGTGTCCTTTTAACATGCTCCAATTTTTTTTTAGTGCTTCAATGCTTTCTGACACTGTAGGTTCATATGTAAATATTCCTGTCCCAACCTTGAGATAGAAGCTGGCATGCAGGGAGGCTTGTTCCTTTTAGTGGAAAAAGGTGTTAGAAGATATGGGTCTTCTGTTGATTGTTACTGAGGTGTGTTTACTTCCAGGTACGTTTAAAGCTCTGCCATTTCCGAGCATTACTCCTTGTAATATTGACACAGTTATTAAGACACCCTCCTTTCTGGAAGTATATAATTAAGCAACAGATTCTGGACTTGAAAATTAGATTGTTGGTGATAGTGGTAGATAGTGATAGATAGTGGTAGTGGTGATAGTGGCAGGTCATTAAATTCTTTAAGAGGTGAAGTTTAGGCCCCTACTGAATCTGAGATAGCAAGATGATTAGGCCCCTACTGAATCTGAGATAGCAAGATGACTGGCTTTGACAAATGAATAACTAAATATATATAATATTTATATATCTATATCTAATATAGATAATAATTTATATATCTATATCAGAGAGAGAGAGAGAGAGAAGAGAGAATGCCATTTGGACTATAAGCAAGCAGACCTTGCAGCTTCCACTCTTACCTACCATGCCCCAGGATAGCTTATCTGAGGATGAAAGAACACATGAAGAGAAGGTTCGACCAAGAGCCAGTACCAGCTCTCTGTCATGTGAGTGACAGCCACCTGTAATCGCCCAGCCCGAGCTGAGCTGCCAGATGGCTGCAGCTACCTAAGTAACCCAAGGCGACTATCAGAAAAACCACCCAACTGCAACTTTGTGTACTCCTTAAAGAAAATCCTTTCTGGGGGCGCCTGGGTGGCTTAGTCGGTTAAGCGTCCGACTTTCGCTTAGGTCATGATCTCGCGGTTCGTGGGTTCGAGCCCCGCGTCAGGCTCTGTGCTGATTGCCAGCTCAGAGCCTGGAGCCTGTTTCGGTCTGTGACTCCCTCTCTCTCTGATCCTCCCCTGCTCACGCTCTCTCTCTCTCTCTCTCTCTCTCCTAGAAATAAATAAAACATTAAAAAAAAATCCTTTCTGAATATTTCCAAAAGCAGATTACAATTGTTGTTCTCACATATTTTTAATACTTGTATTGATGTATAACAGAATATACATACAGAAAAGTATACAGATTATAAGTATGCAACTCAGTATATTTTCACAAACTAAATATACTTTATAGGAGGGCCTGGGCGGCTCAGTTGGTTGAGTGTCCAACTCTTTATTTCAGGTCAGGTCATGATCCCAGGGTATTGGATCAAGCCCTGTGTCAGGCTCTGCACTGCGTGTGGAACCTGCTTAAAATTCTCTCTCTCTGCCCCTCTCCCCTCGTTCATGCTCTCTGTCTCTAAAATTAAACACACACACACACACACACACACACACACACACACACACACACTTGTATAATCAGTACTCAGATGTAGAAACCTACCTTTACTACCAGGACACAATTCCCTTTAGCCCCTTCTAGATAGTATTCCCCACCCTCAGCCCTGCTTTCAGAGACAATTATGATCCTTACTACAAATATCATATATTAATTTTGCCTGTATTCTATGTTAATAAATTATATTATACAGAATGTAATCTGTGTTGGGCTTTTTCTTTCAGCATTATGAGTTATTGCATATAGTTGTAGACCATTTGTTCTTAGTGTTATATACTCTTCAGCATTCATTATCTATTGTTATTTAATATATTATCACAAATTTGGGGCCTTGAAACAGCAAACATGTATTCTATCAGAATGATAAGAAAATTCGCATATCCCTATTAAAGTTCTGCAAACAGGTCTCTTAAAATCTTTGTGGGTCTCCTCTGAATCTTACTGAAGATTAACAAAAGCCATATCCACAAATATTACTGATATAAGCCCTTATCCACCTTGGGCTTCTGCATAGACTGCTGACAGACAAGGCTTTCTTAGAAGTCCATTTGTTAGGCTGAACCATTTCCTGAGGCACTGCCTTAGGTCTTTCTTAACAATGGGTTTGTATCTGCATTACTTTTGGGTCTTGTTTTTTTGAGAGTTTTTAAAATTTTGGTATCATTGGTCCTTGGACAGGCTAGGAATCTTCCAACCCAGCAACCCCAGCTCCTTTTTGTTTAATATGCCTTCCTTTTTTTTTTTTTTAATGTTTATTTATTTTTGAGAGAAAGACAGACAGAGTGTGAGCAAGAGGAGGGACAGAGAGAGAGGAAGACACAGAATCCAAAGCAGGATCCAGGCTCTGAGCTGTCAGCACGGAGCCTGATGTGGGGCTCGAACTCAAGAGCCATGAGATCATGACCTGAGCCAAAGTCAGACACTCAACCGACTGAGCCACCCAGGTGCCCCAATGTGCCTTCCTTTAGCTTACCTCTTTCTGTTTGTTTTTACTATAAGCAGCAAGAAGATGACCCCTTCAACACTCTGCTTAGAAATCTTCTCAGTGAGAGCCTCAATTCATTTGGTAAAGTTTCTATCTTCCACCCCCCCATAGGTGACAGGGTTGCCAAACCTAACAAGACCTCCTTTCCTTCAGTTTCCTTCTTTCCCTACTTCCCTACAATTGCAACACTCTTCAAGGCCATTTGGCTTCAAACAAGCTCTTTAATACCCTTTGGTCTTCACTAATGCTCCTCAAATTCCCTCCTGCTTTTACCAAGATCAGGTCCCAAAGCCATGCCCACATGTTCAGGTTTCTGTTATGGCAGCACCGCAATATCCAGACTTTGGTCAAGCCCAGAAGCTAAAACCCACACATGGGAGCCAATTATAATTGCTGTTCTGAATCTTTCTTTTGCTTAGCAACTTTGGCTATCATTCAATATCAGTAGATATAGCTTCACCCAGTGTCTCATCGTCTGACTGAGCCATATCTTTAAACTTTTAAATTATTAACATTTAAAATTTAAATGATTAACGTTTTAAATGTTAATAGATTTGCCAATTGCTCTCCTAAGTTGTATCAATTCACACTCACCACAATGTATGACAGAGCTGCTTCTCCACGTAATTGACCATACAGTGAGTTAGCAAACTCCTTGACCTTCACTAACTTCGTAATCAAAAACATCTCATGGAGGGGGATAGGTGAAATAGGTGAAAAGGACTAAGAGGTATACACTTCCAGTTATAAAAGAAATAACTCATGGGGGTAAAAAGTACAACATAGGGAATACAGTCAATAATATTGCAAGAATTTTGTTTTGAAATTTTCACTGTTGTTCTAATTTGCATTTCATTTATTATGAATAAGGTCCAGTATACTTTCATATATTTAAAAGCCATTATCACTTTTTCTGTCAATTACCTGATCATAATTTTTGTCCATTTCAGAGTAATTGATCCTTTTTTCTTATCGATGCTTTAGAGCTCTTGAGGAAAATAGACCTTTATCTGTCTCACAGGTTGGAAAGATTTTTTTCAGTTTGTCATTTATCTCTTAAGTTTGTTTATAGGCATTCCTTCACTCAGGGTTTTTATGTATGCAAGTTTATTACTATTCCCTTTATATCTTGCTTAGTGATCTCTCCCTGAACTCTAAGATGATAAAAAACAAAGCACAAAAACTCCACCATTTCCTTTACTACTTTTCTAATTTCATTTTTAATATTAAAAAATGTGATCGATCTGGAATTTATTTTGGTATAAAGAGGGTGAGAATCCCACTCTCCCCCCATCTGGTTAGTCATTTCTTTGAATACAATTCATTCAATAATCTATCCTCCCCTCCCACCAATGTTTTCATTATGTTCTACATTTATTGTATCTTTTTTTCCCTACTTGGTCTTGATACATCTTTTATTAGAACCATGGAACCATCGGTTGAGTCATGAATCCGGAAGTAGAGAAGAGAGTCTATGGTTCTAATGCTTGCATGCAGAATTCCAGTCAACCTTGGGGTGCCTGGTGTAAGCATCTGACTTCCCCTCAGGTCATGATCTCCAGACTGGTGAGTCCCAGCATCTGACTTGGCTCAGGTAATGATCTGGAGGTTGGTGAGTTCCAGCTCCACGTGGGGTTCTGTGGCTGACAGCTCAGAGCTTGGAGCCTGCCTCGGATTCTGTGTCTCCCTCTCTCTCTGCCCCTCCCTCACTCGAGATCTTTCTCTCTCAAAAAAAAATTTTTTTAATTAAAAAAATTACAGACAGCCTAGCCACTTCCTTCCGTAAGTCTGCCACAAAGAGCAGTCAGGGGGGAAGGCTCTGAATTACTTCTTGAGGGTTAGAGGGTTTGAGAAACGGGAAGGGAGGATGAGACGGAGAATGTGAACCTGTCTTTGGTAGCCAGCTAAAATCTTTATTGTCCGGGGTCTAGTCTGGTTTCTTTTATCTCATCCTAACTACCCAAACCTTCCTTTGAAATGGGGCTGGAGGGCGCCCCGCTCCATCTCCTCCGGAAGCCCTTTCTTTTCTACAGTCTCGCTGAGAGAGAGACGCTCCGTGGGCATAGGGAATAGAACGGGGCTGGGGCAGGCTGTTGAGATGCCAGGTTTGCCAGCAAAGGGCTGGGAGGGTCGGGAGAAGGACCTTCTCGCTGCGCTCCCGCAATGTCCTCTGCGCCCACGAGAAGGCGCCCGGGCGCTCGCTTTCTCCGCGCGTAGCCAGAGCCTCCGCCGCAATGAGCCCGGGAGCCGAACCGCTCGGCGCGGCGATCTGAACAACCCGGCGGCGGCCTGAGCCCTTCCCCGCCCGCCAAGGGGGACAGGGTGCCGGGAACCCCCGGCTTTGTTTCCGGAGCTGGGGTGCAGCGCTTTCTCAACTCTGCTCTCCACCCCCACAGGAAACGCCCAGAACCACCCACCCCACAGCGCGGTCTACAAAGCCCCGAGCGTCCGAAGGCGGGAGGGGTTGGGCGAGCCCGAGAAGCAGGAGGATCCCCCCGACCCAGGCTCACGCCCGGTTCCGCGATCAGGCCGCCTCCAGCCCCATGAAGACCCCCAGGCCGGGGCTGAGAGCCTGGCGCAGCCCGGACCGAAATCTTGTGGCGGCCTCAGAGCTTTAGACAGGTCAGTGCTCGGGCGGGATGAGGGGCCCGAGCTGGAGGCGGGAGGCGGCGCGCTCGCCGGTCCCCCACGGTCCCCCGCACAAGCTTCCCGAGGCCACTGGCGCGGTCACCTCCGCCGGGGGCATCCAGCAGCGCGGGCGTGATTCTGCATTTTTCATGACAAGCAAGGTGTAGAGCCGCCCGGTGCAGCCCACTGGGTGCCAGGTGATGCTCCGACCGAGGGGTGGGGGATGCGCGGGCCAGGGGGCGGCGGGCTTGGGGACATCCGCTGCTCTGAGAAAGCAGTGCACTCCTCCTTGCACGCGGCCGCGAGGAAACCGCCGCATGCAAAGCTCTCCTGCATCAAGATGCCGGGCCTCGGGCGTGAGAGGAAACCGAGATGCGGGAGAGGGCGAGAAGAAAGGAGGCCGAGACACCGAGGCCCCGAGAGTGAAGGGAGGAGGGCCGGGGGAGCGATTCGCTGTGCAAATCCTAGCGCGCCGCGATGTGGAGAGCGTTCCGGGGAGCTGACCCGAGCCTCCGGAACCACGAGGCTCGAGGGACCCAGCCCGCGCCTCCCCTCCGCACCTTTCTCACCCTCCCGCCCCTCCCGCCCCTCCCGCCCTCCAGGATGCGGCTGGGCCGCCGGGCCCTCTGCGTGCTCGTGCTGCTGCTCGCCTGCGCCTCGCTGGGGCTCCTGTACGTGAGCACCCGGGACGCTCCGGGCCTCCGGGCACCTCTTGCGCTGTGGGCGCCCCTGCAGGGCCCCTCCAGACCAGAGCTGCCAGACCTTGCGCCCGAGCCCCGCTATGCACACATCCCGGTCAGGATAAAGGAGCAAGTGGTGGGGTGAGTGCCAGGAGCGGCGGCGGCACTCACCGGCGGGGGAGGGAGGGGGCGGGGGGAGCTTTCGTTTCCTGCACTGTTGAGCTCTGAAGCCTCGGCTCTCCTGACTGGTTGAGGGAGGGGAGAGGTGGGGGGGGGGGGGGCTGCTTCTGAATCTTAGGTCGAGGGAAAAAAAAAATCTCTCCTCCCTGAACCGTGTCATGGTGATGGGGGTGGGGGTGGGGGGTGTGCAGGCAGAGGAGAGCCTGAAAGGCTTTCTGATGTCCACGTGGGAAAAAAAAGTCCAGGTGGGGTCCTGAATGGTGGGAGGAAGGCTCTGAAATCCTAGCAACTAGCCCTCCTCTATGCCTCTGTAAAATCCAGATTTAGGGGATGGGTCATCACACCGGGGGTGGTCTCCACTCCTGGGGGCTATGTGAAGAGCAGTGTTTAAGGGGACAGACCTTGGGTGGGCAGGGTTGAAGGGCAAGGTGTGGGGTGCTGTGTTAATATTTTGCGGGGTGTACGGAGCTGGGCTCGGATGACCCCTCATCTCCCCTCCAGGCTGCTGTTTGGGAACTGCAGTTGTGAGGCCAGTGGAGGGAGCCTTCGTTTCCCCTTCCAAAGGCAGGTCCGGGCAACTGACCTCACCAAGGCCTTTGACCCCGAGGAGCTGAGGGCTGCCTCTGCCTCCAGGGAGCAGGAGTTCCAGGCCTTCCTTTCAAGGTACCGGCTGGAAAAGAGGGCAGGTCTCTGAGGAGGGTGGGCCGTGGGAGGCCTGGAGGGAGGGTGTGACAGGAAGGAGAACCCTTCTGCCCTTGATTCCTTCTCTGTCCTCCACTGCCAGGAGCCAGTCGGCTGCGGACCAGCTGCTCATAGCCCCTGCCAACTCCCCTCTTCAGTACCCCCTGCAGGGTGTGGAAGTCCAGCCCCTCCGGAGCATCTTGGTGCCAGGTGTGGGGGGCCTGGGGGATGGCCTAAGCCACTGTGGGGGTGGCAGAGTTCAAGGCTGGGTGAGGAAGAGCTAAGGAAGATTGGAATAGGGGGCAGGGAGCTTCTGATGAAGGCAGGATTTGAGGGCAGAAGGGGGTTCCTGAGGCAGGAGGTTTGGACAGAAGGAACTCTAGGGCTGTCCGGAACTGCAGCTGACTGTAACCGGAGAGGTTTGGAAGAAAGAATCTATTCTTTGCCGACTGACCAAAGATTAGGTGGATAGGTGGGTCGAGCCATAAAGAGCTATTGCTTTGACGGAAAGGAGTGAAAACTCAGTTACTCTAGGCTGCGTCCCCAAATGTGCCCTGCTGTGGCCTCAACACAGAAGGATGAGTGAGAAGGTCTGTGCTGTGTGGGGTGAAAGAGAGAAGAGAAAATGAGGAAGAATTCAAAGCTGTCTGGGATTCTGATTCCCTCTCCTTCCTCCCAGGGCTGAGCCTGCAGGCAGCTTCTGGTCAGGACCTTTACCAGGTGAGAGGCTGGGGAGGCCAGGTGGGCATTAAGGATGGAAGGGCGCCCAGGAGACTTAGTAGGTTAAGCAACCGACTCTTTTTTTTTTTTTTATGTTGATTAATTTTTGAAAGAGAAGGAGACAGAGCGAGAGCAGGGGAGGGGCAGAGAGAGAGGAAGACACAGAATCCGAAACAGGCTCCAGGCTCTAGGCTGTCAGCACAGAGCCTGACGCGGGGTGAGAACTATGGACTGTGAGATCATGAGCCGCGCCAAAGTTGGACACTTAACCTACTGAGTCACCCAGGCGCCCCAAGCGACTGACTCTTGGTATCAGCTCAGGCCATGATCTCACAGTTCCTGGGATTGAGAGCCCTGTGTGGAGCTCTGCACTGACAACATGGAGCCTGCTTGAGATTCTCTCTCCCTCTCTCTCTCTCAAAATAAATAAATAAACTTGGGGGGGGGGATGCTGGAGGGAGACAGGGCTGCCAACGGAGGGATGGAGGAACCAGAGAGTCAAGAGGCAGGTCTGAGGCCTAACCTTGTCCTCTCCAACTCCCTCTCCCAGGTGAACCTGACTGCCTCCTTGGGCACCTGGGACGTGGCAGGGGAAGTGACAGGAGTGACTCTCACTGGAGAGGGGCAGCCTGATCTGACCCTCGCCAGCCCAGGGCTGGACCAACTCAACCGGCAGCTACAACTGGTCACTTATAGCAGCCGAAGTTACCAGGCAAACACAGCAGACACAGGTGTGAGGTCTGGGTGGAGGCAGGGGTGAGCTGGGTGGACAGAGAGCCCAGAAAGGCTGAATCGGGCAAATGGCAGAGGGTGTGGGAGATACTCAGGCAATGGCCAGAGCTGCCCAGTCACACAATGGGCATTTCAGCTAGGCCAGCAGGGCCATGGAGGGAGAGAAGGGGCCTTTGTTCATCTGGGGCCAGAGGAGGCCAAAGGGAAACCCGAGCCTTGGGTGTGTCCCCCTTCAGGCCAACCATGGGGGCCCCAGGAAGTGACTTGCCCCAGGAGCCAGAAGGCTCAAACTCTATTCCCAAACCACCACTTACTGGAGGGCAAGGGGCTTCATCCCCCAGAGCTCCTGTTTCTCCTCTAGCAAAAGAGCACAACAGGGCCCTCCTGCTTCTCTCCAAGACTGGCTACACCAAATCTGCTCCCACTTTGGGGCCTTTGCACTTGCTGTTCCCTCTGCCTAGAATGCTCTTCCCCCAGATTTTTGCATGGCTGGCTCCTTCTTGTCATTTGAATCTCAGCTCAGATGTCTCCTCTTCACTATCCAATTACTTGCTTTATTTTCCATTCAATGCTTGCCAGTATCTGAATTTTATTTACTTAGCCTAGAACCGAAGTGACTAGGTTCCTATCTCAGTTTTGTTGCTTAAGAGTTGTGTAAATGTAGACAACTTACTTAATTTCTCTATGCCTTTTTCTGTAGCAGGAATCTACTTATAGGGCTTGTCAAGATTGAGTTCATATATTTAAGGTAACTTAAAAAGTACCTGCCACATATTAAATGCTCAATAAAGGTTAGCTTTTATTTTTTTTTAATTTTTTTAAAATGTTTTATTTATTTCTAGGCGAGAGAGAGAGACAGCGTGAGCAGGGGAGGGTCAGAGAGAGAGGGAGTGACAGACTCTGAAACCGGCTCCAGGCTCTGAGCTGGCAGTCAGCACAGAGCCCGATGCGGGGCTCGAACCCACGAACCGCGAGATCATGACCTAAGCGAAAGTCGGACGCTTAACCGACTAAGCCACCCAGGCGCCCCTAAAGGTTAGCTTTTAATTAAATCTTTTTTTTTTTTTAATCAAATCTTGAGGCACCTGAATGGCAGTCGGTTAAGTGTCCAACTTCAGCTCAGGTCATGATCTCATGGTTTGTGGGTTTGATTCCCGCGTGGGGCTTTGTGCTGACAGCTAGCTCAGAGCCTGGAGCCTGTTTCAGATTCTGTATCTCCCTCTCTCTCTGACCCTCCCCTGCTCACGCTGTCTCTCTCTCTCTCTCTCAGAAATTAAAAAAAAAAAATCAAATCTTTTGTTTTCTGTCTCCCACCCATTAGAGTGTTAGCACCATGGATGTAGAAACCTTGCATTCTTGTCAACCAGGGCCCGGAAAAGTGGTACGCAGAGTAGGCACTTAAATAGTGATTTACTGAAAAGGCAATGTTGTCCCAGCCTTAGGGACCACATCTGGTGTCCTTTCTTCCCAGTCCGGTTCTCCACGGAGGGACATGAGGCCGCCTTTACCATCCGCATAAGACACCCACCCAACCCTCGGCTGTACCCACCTGGGTCTCTACCCCAGGGAGGTGAGGCTGGTGCGTTCAAGGACCTAAATCCAGGCCTGGTGGGGAGAAGCTGGGAGAGGGGGACCTTGGGAGATGTTTTCCTGCTCCTCACTCCCACTCTCCTTCTCTGCACCTAACCCTTGCCCCTCACTCCCAGCCCAGTACAACATCAGCGCCCTGGTCACGATCGCCACGAAGACTTTCCTTCGTTACAATCGGCTCCGGGCGCTCATCGCCAGCATCCGCCGCTTCTACCCAACGGTGACCGTGGTCATCGCGGACGACAGCGACAAGCCAGAGAGCATTAGTGGCCCCCACATCGAGCACTATCTCATGCCTTTTGGCAAGGTGCGCAGCCAGCGAGGCTGAACCGCGCGCCAGAGGGCGCCGAGAGAGAGAGAGAGAGAGAGAGAGAGAGAGAGAGAGAGAGAGAGAGAGGCGCGCCCTCTGTCTGAAGTCACAGGAGTATTGATTCCAGGACTACGTGTGCCTCAGAATTACTGGGGTGGCTGTTAAACACGGCGTTGCCTGGAACTGAATAAGCTCCGTGGGAGGAGGAATCGTTCCTATCTTATTTGCGCTGCATCCTTAAAATGTGCTTAGCACCTAGGGAGCGCTCAATAAATGATGGATGGGTGGATGGATGGATGGATGGATGGATGGATCAATGAATGAATGAATGCACGTATAAATTAAATGCGTTCTAAGACCCTCCCCCAGAACACGGACTCATTACTCCTGGCAGTGGGAAACTGCATTTTTTGGCCTAGCTCTGAGCCATTCGTAGGTACAAGAAAGTTTAGAGAGGTGTCGGGAGAGAGAAGGAAAGGTGGCAGGGGGGTTATGTCCTATCTCTACAGCCTCGCTAACTGTATATACCCTGCCTCCAGGGCTGGTTCGCAGGCCGGAACCTGGCTGTATCCCAAGTAACCACCAAGTACGTCCTGTGGGTGGACGACGACTTTGTCTTCACGGCGAGGACGCGGCTGGAGAGGCTTGTGGACGTGCTGGAGCGGACGCCGCTGGACCTGGTAAGCGACCGCGGAATGCGGGGTGGGAGAAGGGGGGACTCCAGCAGGCTGCGGCAGCCGCGGGGGAGACCCGGCCTAGAGCGGCCGGCCCCGGGACGGACAGAGGACGAGCCTGGGGGACGATCTGGGTCCTGCAGGGGTGGAGCGGAAGAGGACGCGGCCGGGGACCCGCCCGAGGGAGGGGCAGCTCGCGGCAGTCTGGGTCCCGCCTGGAGCCGGCCTCCCACTCCCCGCAGGTCGGGGGCGCGGTGCGCGAGATCTCCGGCTTCGCCACTACCTACCGGCAGCTGCTGAGCGTGGAACCCGGCGCGCCAGGCCGCGGGAACTGCCTGCGGCAAAGGCGCGGCTTCCACCACGAGCTCGTCGGCTTTCCAGGCTGCGTGGTCACCGACGGCGTGGTCAACTTCTTCCTGGCGCGCACCGACAAGGTGCGCGAGGTCGGCTTCGACCCGCGGCTCAGCCGCGTGGCGCATCTGGGTGAGTGGCGCCCCCTCCCGGCCCGGCCCGGCCCCGCAGAGACCCCGCGGGGCGCTGGGCGAGACTCCAAAGGCAGCGGCTACTCCTACGCCCACCCCAGTGGAGCCTTCGGCTGGCACCCGGGGCCCCTGGAGAGTTGTGCTAAAATTTACCAAGACTTGCGCCCTGGCAAGAGACAGGGCTCCCTGCCTCCTGGCCCGCACACCCTATGAACATCCAAGCCCAGCACAGCTACTGGATCAGCCTTTAACTTCCCCACCAGTGTCAGTGCCACCTTTAATCCAGTCCCAGCCGCTTTGCCTGGCTCAGACCACACTCCTGGAGCAGCCTATTAGCATTTATTGAACATTTGGGCCTGTGTTGGGGAGGATGGGGGTATGTTCTCAAAGCACAAAGTAAGGATGCTGACTTCATTTTACATAAGAGTAAAACTAGGACCCAAATGAATTAATTAGTAGCCCAAGGCCCTCAGAAAAAGAGGCTTTGCATGTGCAGCTCCCATACCCCAACTCTCCGTTCTCCCATATGGGTTGGCCTTCTGCAGCCTTCAGATGCTTCATCATGTACCCCCCTTCCCTCCACTCCCAGAATTCTTCCTAGATGGGCTTGGTTCCCTGCGGGTGGGCTCCTGCTCAGACGTCGTTGTGGATCATGCATCTAAGTTGAAGCTGCCTTGGACGTCAAGGGATGTGGGGGCAGAGACTTATGCCCGGTACCGTTACCCAGGATCACTGGACGAAAGTCAGGTGGCCAAACATCGCCTACTCTTCTTCAAACACCGGCTGCAGTGCATGACTGCGGAATGATGGTCCCTTGGGGCCTTCAAACTGTCAGGCTGGGCCTGCCTCCTTGTCCCTGCCAGGAATTTCTAACAAACCCCAGGAATTTCTAGCAAACCCCAGTGCCCAGTGACTACTCCACTGACTGTCCCTGATCCCCTTCAAAATCTGATCCCAAATAGGGGCTTGTCCTGGTGACACTCCTCCTTTCTGTGAGTGCCCAGGGATGTGATGGAGCCATAACTCATCCCACGGCCAGTGCCAAGTCCTCCCTGCAACCCTCTTCTCATGGGGCAGGAAGTGGGGGGGTCACTTTCTAAGTGCCAAAAAGCCCATGGGGACTCTAAGAACCTAAAATGGAAATACTCTCATTTCCTTGGGACTGAGGGGGTGGGGAAGCCCCCAATGTGTATTCCCAGGGCTGTGCCCCCCATCTCTGGATCCAGGACTCTATGCACTGGTTCCAGCCCCACCCCCAAGGAGAGAACCAGTGACTCCAGAGGGGGTGTGGGGGCCGGTGAACACACAAGTGAAAGCCATTTTTAGTTGTGTCTCTGCGATGCTGTGGGCATGGAGAAGGGGCACCAAGGGTCGGTGTGCAGACACCCAGACCCACTTCATGAACCCCAGAGGCTCTTGGCTTTATTAGTTGCATGAAGTGAGGGGATTCTTCACACACATATTGTTGGGGCCCTCCACATTCCAAATGACCAGGTCAGACCCACACTGTGCACGTCTTTGGGCCAGGAGGCTCCTGGAAAGGAGAGGGGACATGTCAGGAATAGATTAGGTGCCCTCCTCCATCCCTCAGCACTTGGCAGCCCACTGAGGGGCACACCACCCCACTTTGAAACTCTGGCTCCTCAGTTCATGTGGAGCTGGGCCCAGTCTCCTTGGCTTAGCCTTAAATGGACTAATCATTTCATTCCCCCACCCCACATTCCTCCCCCAGCTTCCTTCTCTGCCCCCTTCCCCAAACCCTCTGCCCAGATCTTCAGCCACTGACTCACATGCCACTTGCTCTACCCCGCACCTCCTGGATCTCACTCCTCTTGCTACTGCCCCCTCACCAGTCTCTCCAGGGCATGAGCAGCTGCATCCTGGACGCTCACAAACAGCTGCTCTGGGGTCACTCTGTCCAAGAGTCCTGCCTGGGTCAGTGTCCCCAGCACTGAGGCTGTGTAGAAAGGCTGGTCAGCCTCTTAGATCTTAAGTCCACACTGTGTCTTTTTCCCTCCCCCAAGCGTCCAGCCATTCCCCCGCCTCCAGGCCCTCCACACCTCTCACCATTACACTGAGCCAGGAGAAGGTGGATCCCGGCATCTCGGCATCGCCTGGCTAGCTGCGGAGGTGGGGCGGGGGGTTAAATCCCATCTCAGAGGGTATGCATGGGATAAAGACTTTCTCCTCAACCTACCCCGTCCCTCACCTGTACCACCTCTCTGGCCCCAGCAGCATCCGCAAAGGTAATACCACTGCAGTCTAGGACCACCACTCTGACAGGCTCAGCAACTAGGATGGGAGAAGGCAGGAGTACCCAGATGCCTCCACAGGTCACACCCAAATCTCCTTCCTCGTCATCCCATCTCACCTGCATCAGGTGGGCCGTCTAGCTCTGGAGTGTCCTGTGGGTAGAGAAGGGCAGTTACCACCTCCAAGACACAAGCATGAACTTGCACCCATTAAGCACAGTGATCCCCTCCAGAAGCCTTGCCTGCCTCCTACTCCCAGAGAAGCCACACTCCCCTTTGACCAAGCGTCTCACCTTGCCTCCTTCTCCAAGCCCCAGGTGCCCCTCCAGGATGCGGCGGAACTGCCCACGTGTCCCAAAGTAGAGTGGTGTTGGGTATCTCAGGATGCAGAGTCCTGGGACCTTGAGGAGCTAAGATGTCAGAGGGTCAGAAAAACATCTGGGTCTAATCTTCCCTTCCCTCTTTGTCTGTCGCCCACCCACCTTGTGGCTCTCTCTGAGTGGCCTGTAGAGCTCCGTCCCCTCAGCAAGTCCAAGTGCCAGGCACTGCACCCTGGGCGGGAAGCTGGGGTCAGATTCCCAGCCTGACCTGGCTGGAGAGTCACCCCAAGCATCTGTTCTCTCCCCACCCTTCTTCCTGACTCCTCTCATCTCTACTCCCACCTCTGGGTGCGGCAGACCACAGTCATCATGGAGAAGACCACGCCTACGGCCAGGCCCAGGTCCACACTCAGGATCACTACAGCCACCCACGTGACCATCCATACAGCCTGCAGGACATGGGTGGGAGTGAAATGCCCTGAAGAAATGCCAGGCCATGGCTGCTAGGGAAAGAGGACGTGGGGGCGGGGGGAGGGGGCAGTGACTGCCAGGACAAATGAGATGGAGGGATGGCCCAAGAGAAGGTAGAAAGAATGACAGAAGGTGCAAGATTGACCCAACAAGGGATATACACCAAATGGGATCACCCCAGACCTTGCAGCACAGCTGGGGAGTTACAGATATCTCCCCAGTCTGAAGGCGTTCAAACCCTGCCCTCCACTTTGTCTCTGAGTAATGGGATTAGGAGGTATGCATGTTGGGGGCAGGGGAGGAAAGCTGTAGAATTTAGGACCAGGACAATTAGCTCAGATGCAGGGCAGAAGCTGGGGATGCTGGGAAGTAGGAGGGGGCAATCCGGGAGGTAATGCTACCACTTCTCACAAAGTCCATGCGGCTGATGCGCCACAGTTGTGGAAGTTCCTGCATCTGGAAGAACATCTGGCGCATGCTGGAGATGTTGATGCAGGCCAGGACAGCCTTGGGGGCAGAGGAGGCAAGCTGACTGCCCCGATGTCCTCGAATATAGCCACCCCTCCCAGCCACTCCCATGCCTCCTCTGTTCCTCACCTTGGGCAGATAGTAGAAGAAGGGCCCCAGCCACAGCAGTACTGACAGGACGACTATGCAGGAGAAGAGACCAGCCAGCTAGAAAGAAGGAGGGATGGACGCAGAGAAGGAAGGGAGCCTCACTCACCCCTGTGTGAGAGCCGGTCTCCCTGCCTCACTCTGCCTCGTCTTCCTTGGAAGTCTGCCTCCTTCCAAATCCCCTTCCATGAAGATATTCCTCAGTCTTCACCTCCCTTCTGGGTACTCTGCCTCTCCCACCCGTCTTTCCCGTCTCCCAATTAAATGCCTACCATTCACCAGTCTCTACTTAGACATAGTTCAATCTCCCTATTTGTGTAGCCTGTGTCCATCTTAAAAGCCGCTGTTGGATTACCCTAAAATCAGGGGAGCCACATTCGTAGGGCACCCGCAAAGTAGGACAGCAGAAGTATTAGCGGGAGACTTTCATATGTGATATTTCTTTTTAAAAGAAAACGTCCTCATGGAGCAGGGGGAGTCAGAATTTTGTCTTTCACATTTATTTTACAGTTCAGGATTGTTCTTATTGTGAACTACATACGGGACACCGTAAACTTTTTCAGCGCTTAGAGTCTACCAAGGGCTTAGTGGAGCCTTGCTATCTTCTATCTCTCCTACCTAGACGCCCCCACGCCCTCATTCATTCTCCCTCACAAATTCCCATTCTCCTCTACACAGCTGCCCCCAGGTATCTGTCTATCAGTCTTCCACCTGTTTCTCCACCACCACCCCAACCTAACCCCCACCCCCATGCTCCACCCAAGGGCTTGCTCTTACCTGTGTGTTCCCACCGGCATCCACTAGTAGGCTGGTGGTGGCCAATGTGGCAGAGTTGGGAAAGCAGGAGAAGAGGGAGGAGATGAGGTTGGAGATGCCGTGTGCCAAGAGCTCCTGGAGGTGTGCAGTCCGATGAGGAGGAGGGAGAGGCAAGGGCAGGGGGCGGGGGGGGGGTGCAGGAGACAGGGGATTAGGGAGTTGTCTCCTGAATGCAACTGGGGTCCTCAACCAGAGTCACACCTGGTTGGAGTCAATAGTGTAGCTATACTTGTCTGCGTAAATGGAGGCCAGGGAGGCGGACACAGCAAAAGTAACCAGTGCGATGGGCAGTGAGTCAGCCAGGATCCTGGGCAGCTCAGCCAGGTTGGGAAGATGGGCTTGGGGAAATCTGCAGAGAGAGAGGGATCCATGGCGAGGGTGAGCTGTGTATAAGAAGGATATAGGGAAGAAAGAGAAAATAGGGTGGCGCAGGCCAAGAGGAGGTGTTGGGTGGGAGAAATCTGAGAATAGCAGGCTGGTGTCTTGATTCTCTCTTACCCCCCAGGCAGCAGCCCCACAATCTGGACGTTGTATCTTGTGTCCAGGGAAGAGGTGAAGCAGAGCACAGAGGCCAGAAGCACCTAGGAAAAAGCAAATTAAAGCACGGCAGGAGATGCACTTCCTGGAAGAGGCTAGAAAAAAGCTTCACATGAGAGAGGATTAAAAGGCAGCATTAGGTGTTTGCAGGGATCCAGCAACCAGGGGATTTGGTGTGTGTTTGGAAGGGGTGCCTGGCAGCCGATTTAGAGTGAAGGAGAGTGGGGATGGGAAAGGAATGAGGTATACTTGAGGCTATTGTAAGAGATGGACCAGAGGAAGGGAGAAGGGCTCTGCTCCCATGAGGGATCGTCGATATCAGGAAGTACATCCAGCCATCCTAAGTAGGACAGCTGGGATATATCTAGGGATCTACGCCGTATGGGTGGAGATGTGGAACACTCGTTTAGTTGGGGGGAGAGAGAAATGTAGGTGGGCGTGGGAAGGGAGAGAAACAGTGAATTACAGGGAAGGACCGGGCGCTAGGAGAGGAGTGGAGGTGCTGTGGCGAGCGACACCGCAAGGGAGCGCTGTAGGCAGGAAGAAGGCATTCTAAGAGGTCTAGAAGAGGCTCGGCCAAAGATGTAGGCCCGTGTGGGTGGGGGATTCTGAAGGGTCAAAGTGTTCTGGGAAGAGGCCTGGAAAACATGTGTGCACAGGACTTCTCTCCGTAAGCTCGCTGCATTCCACGAGGGGGCGACAGCGGCCAGCTCTACCCGACCGGCAAGGTCTGTGTAGTTCAGGGGACCGCGCGCGACCCTGGAGCCAGCCTCACCATGACGATTTCCCCTGGGATCGGGGTGGGGAGCTTGTCTCGGAATCTCACGTTCAATTCTTTGACCGGCACGAGCAGCGCCAGGCTGAGTGCCGAGATGGTCAGTTCGGCCGGGCTACTCCGGGGCAGCGCGGTCAGCACGGCGGCCAGCGTCTGCGGGCAGGGGCGGTGATCGAGGGCCCGGGGCCGGGTCGACTGCCCTCGGAGCCGACCCACCCGGTCAAGGCAAGGCCTCCCGGCTCCCGTCGGGGCCTCAGTGTACGCATCGCCCCTCATTCAGCCACGTGGTTCTGATCTCCTTTCCTCCGCCCCCGTCTCCCTCTACCCCTCCACTCGCCGTCCTTCCTTCCCGGTTTCCCTCTTCCCAGGACCGCTAGAAGCCGCTTCTCGGCTGTTCTCCACCCCCACCTTGAAGAGAGAGAAGCAGCCAATCTGGCGCGGGAGGGGCAACCCCAAAAGGCTCGGCAGCTGGGACACGAGCACGTGCAGCGCGGCCCCGCTGGTCAGCGCTTTGACCACCGGCTCCGACAGAAAGGTGGACAGGACGCCGAGCTGCAGCGCGAACATGCCCAGCTGCAGGGGAGAAGATGCGCAGTCACTACAGGAGGAGCGGACTAGCCGGAGCGCAGCGCGCCAGCGTCCCCGCGCACCCTTCCCGCCTAGACCCGCGCATGACGCTTGTCCCTCCCCCTCCCCTGGCCCAGTTCCCCCGAGACCCCAGTATGGGTCCCCCAGGGTCTTCGCTCACCATCAGCGCCCCGCTGCCGAAGGCCAAGGCCGCAGCCCCCCCAACACGCTGAGCGTCCAACTGTTCCCTCTCGATTCCGCTCAGGTTACCCCCGAGGGGTTCGGGCACCAGCCGTTCCACCGCAGAGCCCGTCATGAGGCTGAGTACCGCGAAAGTCCCTAGGGCCGGGGGACAAACGCAGAGATCACCAGCTGCGCCGCCTGGGGCGGGGCGGCTGTCCAGGCTTCGCGCCCTCGGGGCTGGGATGCAGCAGTCAGACCCCGCTCTCCGGGAAGGCTGCCGCTCGTGTGAAGCCCGCGGGGCCGAGGGCCGGCGCGGCAGCGCGGAGCCGGCGGTGAGTGGGGAAAGAAGGGCGCACCGGCGGGCAAAACCTGCCCTCTAACTGCATCACCGCCCGCGGGCTGCGCGCTCCTTCGCGTGACCGCTCATCTCTTCTCCCCTCTTCCAAGCCCCGGAGGTGTTCATTGAAACCAGATTTCACGAGGGAAGAAAAGTTCCGAGGAAACTCCCTTCTCTCCGCACCCACTCAGCACCCCCAGCAAGCTTTGCCCAAGTCCGAGGTTCCTGGCAGGGTAGCCACAGGGGCGGAGGGGAAGAAGGGGGGGGGAGGGGACTAAGAACTAAGGAGCTTACGAGAACCGATGTCTCAAACCCCCGTCCATTCTCACCCCCACGGAGGAGAGGAGTCACTGGGTCACTCACCCGTGGACAGGTGTCTCCCAGTACCCAGCAAGGTGTAAATGAGGACGGGGAAGAAAGAAGTGTAGAGTCCGAACACTGGAGGCACGGAGGTCAGGAGGGCAAAAGCCATGCCTGTGTGAGAAATGGAAGGGATGATCTCCGGGGTCTGTGTATGGGATTCGGGGAAGGTGACTAGCGTCCAGGACTCCGTCCTCTTCCCATACTCTTAGAGGCTGGCATGGAGACGCTAAATCGTGCTACACGAGGGAACCTAGGGGTTAACAGGCCTCCGTGGGAGGTCGTGGGGCGGACAGGGTCACAGATCCGTGTCGGCCCAGTCCGCGGGGGAGTAGGGGGCAGGTGTGGTGCCTCTCTCCAGTTCCCTGACCCGGAACGTGTCCAAGACTTCTGGAAGAATTGCGCAAATAAAGGGGGCTGGGGGGAGGGGATCTGATGCAGCTCCGCAGTCCTTACCCAGAGCTTGGTCTCAGGTCTTCGAACCCTCGGCCACACTAACCGGGCCCTCGCTCCCAGGGGCCGAGCCCCTGCACCGCTCCGTGCCCTCCAGAGCCTGGGCCCCCTGACAGGATAGTGTTAGGGCCGCTCACCCTGGGGCACGTGCACGATGCCCACGGTCACCCCGGCCACGGCATCCCCGAGCAGCCAGGCCCGCCAGCTGTAGCGGGGCAGCCAGCGCAGCGGGGGCAGCCGCGCCTGCAGCAGGCGCCACGCCCCCGGTCCGGAGCAAGCGCTGGCCCACCGCCTCCACCGTCCGCACAGTCGGGATGAGCGGGGCTCCGCGAGTAGCTCCGGTGCCTGCTCTGCGTCCCCGAAGAGTCGCTGGAACCGAGCCTCGGTGAGAGGTTCCCTGAACTTGGCGCCCAGAGGGAACCTAAGGTCGGAGGCCTCTCCCAGGCCCGGGCAAGTCCTGGCGGCCGGTAGCCCACTCATTTTGCCCTTGGCCACCTCCAACCCCGCCTAGTCTTAAATACCCCTCCACCCGCTAGCCCCGAGTCCCGCCTCCACGAAGCTGGGTCCAATCCGGCCCCGGAGGGCGCCCTCTCTTGGGGACCTTCAACGGCCGGGAGAGAGCAAAGGCTTCGGGAGAGGGAGTCTTTATGTTAGGCGTTTCCTCAGCCGTCCCTGGCGGGATCGCTGGCTCTGGAGCCTGCCAGGGCGGGGCGGGGCGGGGCGGAGAGGGGGTGTGGAAAGGTGTTGGGACCAGAGACCGAGGCCAAAAGACAAGCGCATCCTCAACACCCAACACCCACTTTTTGCCACTCCTAAGCCTTTGATTCTGCCTCACTCTCGGCCCTTTAGGAGGAGACAGCTGGCGGGGCTGCTGTGACCCCGTCATTCCCAGAGCCTCTGCATTCCCCCCAAGAAGGTTCAGCATTCCCGCCCCCCACACACACACAACACACACATGCCTCTCCCCCAGACCCAAATCCTTAAGGGGCACAGCTTATCCCAAGAAAGTGTAAGGGGCTCTGTTATAAGCTTCACCAACTGCTGAGCTAGGCCACAGCTACATGTATTGCACAGGGACGAACGTACCACCACCCGTGCCTCCACTGGGAGCTGGGCCTGAAGTCCCAGCTCAGGGCCTCACCGGAAATACTGAACTGATAGGAAATTTTGATTTCACCTCTCAGAAGCCAAAAAAATTTGAAGTGCCATTTATTATGTTCAAGCGCTATTTACAAAGTAGGTACTCAAAAACATAGTTGAGATTAAATTAAGTTCAAAAGGGGCATGCACCCACCTCATGCTCGCCTGTGGTCCCTCAAGAGATGCAAAGGTTCTGAGCTCCAGAATCCTGCTATTTGCCCCATCCCCTCCTCCATTTACAAGAATGCTTGGCACCCCTCCCCATCACCCTCTGGTCCCCAGTCCCTGACCCCAAAGCCCTGGGGGTGGGTTAGAGTGAGGGTGGGTCTCCCCTCTTCAATTCCTCCTATTGTTCCCCAGAAGTCTTATCTGGGTTGCACGTCCTGTCCCCCCCCTTAGAAGTCCCTCCCCCCATTGTCGGCCAGAGGGACCTCAGGCCCACAGGGAGGCTCCTGCTCCTCCTCACCCTCCCACCCCAGGAGCCTATTGTCTGCTGAGGAAGCCCAAGTACACGTGACCAAGCCCAGGGGACAAACGGACACAGTGGATACACCGATGCCCCCAGGACCCAGGACAGGGCATCTGGACATGGATCTCTGCATGTTCGGCTTTCTCTGTCCCAGGGGCTATCCCAGAAGTAGGGAAGGGTGAAGACCCCCATGGGCTGTACATTCTCAGGTCTGTGGCTTGAGAAGAATCCCTTCCTGCTCACCATGGACATACCTTATGACCTTGCAGACTGCGAAAAGGAGAAGACCCAACGCTGAAAAGGGCCACAGCCCCCAGCATCCTCTCCACCTTCCCATTCTCCCTCAGCAGAACATGGAAGCCTCAGAAGGAAAGGTACTCGGGCACTTAGTGCTTTAGAATCTTGGGTGTTGGGGGAATGGTGGGAAGTCAGATCACACCGGGCTTTCCAATGGGGTCTAGCATGGAGGCCAGATGGAGGAGGAAGCGGGCTGGGGAAAGGGCAGGATATACATCAAGGAACTAGGGTTTTCCAATGGCCCCGAGTTCCAGGACTGGACTGTGTGGTGCTGCCGCTGTAGGTGAGGGACAAAGACAGCAACATCTTTTCTCTCACACCGTGTGTCCTCTCACCAGACTGTCCGCAGGCCAGCTGGTGGTCCTATTTCACTTCACCCCACCAACCCCTCCTACAGCGTCCCCTTTCCTCTGCCGAGAGAGCGGCCTTAGTGATATCACAAAACCTTTATTCTCAGAAAACCAAAAGAAACAAAACCCAAACCCAAACCAACCATTTTCATCTGGCCCCTGCCCCAGCCCTCCCGTCCACCCACACATCCTCTTTTGGGGGGGGGGGTGGACACCCGTGATGCATGCATAAGGGGCAGGAGCTGAAGGAACCTGTGTTCCTTAAACAGAAAGAAGTCCTTTTGAGTCTAGGTCTCCTCGTCCGCATCCACACCACTCCCAGCCTTGCCCCCCTCTCCAGACACATCAAGAAGGAATTCCGAAGTGGTGCCAGAAGGTTTGCCCTGAAGTTCCTCAGGAAATAGGGTGGCTGGGTCAGCACCACCCGGGGCCTTCACCAGTTACAGCTCATCTTCATCCAGCTTGGCAAGTCTGGCTTGGCAGGGAGGGGTGCTTGGGATTGGCAGAGCTGGAGGAGAGTCACGAGGAGCTTGGGGGGTGTCACTGAGCGCCTGAGGAAAGACTCAAGTCAGAGGGTAAAAAAGGTTCAGGAAGCCACCCTCGCTCCTGTCTTTTTGGTGTATGCCCCTGGCCAAGCCACCTCCTATTGCCAGATATCTTAGATGATCCGAGACCATCAGCCTCTCCCAGGGCTGAACAGGGGGAGGGCCGGGTAAGAGTGGGGCAGTAGGAAGGGGCAGACAAAAGGCAGGTGGTGGTTGTAAGGAAGCATGGGGGTGGGGGGAGGGAATTTAGGGATCCCAGAACAAGAGGGGCCCTCCCCATTCTATAACAGGGGAGCTCCATTCTTCATACCTGTGTGTCCAGGGGCAGGGGGGCTCTGGCCACCTCCCCTTTGGGCAACAGCAGCAGGGAGGGGAGAGAGCCATTGATGGGTGCATGTGTGCTGACCTGGGCCCGGTCTCCAGGCCGGATTCTCCCAGGACTCCCCACCCTAATCCCTCCTGGCCGCCCCAGGCTGTTGGTCTGACTCTCCCGCCTCTGATACTCAATGGGTGACTGCAGTGCTGGGGCAAAGAGAGGAACAGAAGGACAGTTACAAGAGAGACAGGTCTTTTCCCGAAGGGCTCTGCCCAGACCATCCTCCCACTTTGCCCTCCTCCATGAACTGTCAGCCAGTATAAATTGCTGGGGTGATGAAGAGAAGCTGGGGTCAGAGGGCAGGGATTGAAGACTGGGCAGTGAGGGAGGGATTCAGGAGGCCAAAGGGCTGAAGGAGCATGTGGGGGAGGGAGGGAGGGTGAGAGCTTCACCATTGAGAAAGTCCCGCTGGCTTTCCAGGATCTGAGCCACTTGCTTGATCCAGGCCTGGCTGACCGCAGGGTCTGCGGTCTGTAGGACATAGCGCTGGACCCCACCCTCTGGCCCTCTGGAGGTCAGTGCAAAGCGGCAAGGGTCACCTTGGAGGTTCCCCTCCAGTCCCAGGCAGCTCACCTGGATGGCAAATAGGAGATGGCCGCCAAATTCTTTAGGCCCTCTCTGGTTGCGGCCCCTCCCAACAAATCCAAGAGCCAGACATTCCCTCAGAGGCCACAACTCCGTCCCAGGCAGACCCCCTCCCTTGTGGCCTCCTCCCCACCTTGATGCTGCTCTTGTACACGTATCCAGCCTGCGCTCCACCTCGTACTCCTCCTCCCAGGGCCTCGCTGAAGATGATGATTTGCTCAAAGAGGAAGACACGTCTCTCTCGACCCCGGGAGGAGAGCAGACCGCCAGCCTCTGGCTCTGTGACCCAGAACGTGTCCTGGCCCAGGAGCTTCCCCTGAGCAGTCAGTTTGCCCTAGAACCAAAGGACGGTGGCTATAAGAAAAAAGCAAGAAGAGAAAAGGGACCCTCTGTGTTCCTCCCTCCTTCCCCAGATGCTCCCAACCAAGCATGGGGTCAGTCCCAGGGGAGGACAGTTCCCCATAAGGAAACCCCCCCCTCAAGTGCTCAGACTGGGGCAGAAGAGCATTGGGCCTCCGGTTTCCTGTTCTTTCCCCATACCTCAAACCCCCGAAGTCTCCCCAGGGTCATCATGTCATTGCAGCGCTTGGGTACAAAGCACATGACCTCCACAGCTTGCTGGGCCACAGGTGAAGAGAGGATCATTGTCATTGTCAAGAAAGAGGCCTCTTCAGACCATGTTTCAACTCTCAACCAGCCTCCCCCTAAAAACCAGACAGCACAAACCACCCAAGAAGCTGGAAGAACCCAGGAGACTAAAAAAGTAAGAGGTGTAGAGTGTGTCCTGGAAGATCTGGGAGCCCTCACCTCCAGCTCTTCAGTATCCATCCCAGCTCTACTGTAATATTTGAGAAAATCCTAAGGTGTAGAAATGAAACGCTCAGGGAGGTCTTGAAGACATGCTCAGAAACTTCCACATCCTCCCCTTGAAGACACAGCTAGGGATGCCCAGGAAGTGGGGGGGAGGGGGAGCCTTAGGAACCCTGAAGAGATGAATGAGAGAAGGGCTGTCCCAAACAGAGGCACCCCCAGGGAACAGGTGGTCCTGACCTTGAGCAGCAGCTGATATTTCATGATCCTCTGCACTGGTTTGATGAGGAGGTCGTTGAGCTGCAGGCGGTGCCCTAGCTGCTGCCGGAGCTCCTGGGGACAGGGACTTGGCAGTTACGTGGCCTGGAAAGCCTGATGATTCTGTTCCCCATCCCCCAAGGTGCCTCGGCCACTGACCTCAAAGTAGCTGTCCCCGAACTCTGACACCACGTGCTCTGACTTGGGCTTATTCTGACAGTACACCACGTACATATGCAGCCTGCGCTCCTAACAGGGGTAAAGTTTGAGGAGAGCAGGATGCGAGAGGGGAGAAAGCAAGTCTACAGAGAGCCTCGACCCACTCCCAAGCCCCTCCCCTCCAGGGCCCCACCCTCTTAAGCCTCACGTGTTTGATGAATAGCTGAGCCAGCCAATCAGGGTCCTTCAAACACCGCTGCAGCTCCTGCAGGAAATAGCTGGAAGGGTTGGCAGGGAAAAGGCTGGTCAAATACCCCCACCCCACTCAACTTAGAGCTGTCTACCCTAGCTGTGCCATTAAGCCACTCCAAACGTTCCTCAGGCAACAGTGGGCCCAAGGGTAGGATACAGACACAACCAAACGTCTATGCCCTTCCCCCTCACTCTCCGGGATCCACCACTCACTCTCGATGCCACTCATAGATTTGCTGGATGTTCCCAAATACAATCCTGTCACGGCCTCGAAGACTCTCTGGGACCCCCTGAGCGGCCATGGTGGCCATGTAACCCTGCAGGAAGGTTCGGGTGAGAGCATGAGCGTGGGGGGCCAGCCCTGGTGGGAAAAACCCCTCCCCCCAAGAAGTCCAGGATGTAGGAGGTACTGGGAAGATGGGACAGAGGAGCATCTAGGCATCTCCTAAAATTTGCCTTGGGCGGAGGGAAAGGGCTGGGCTAGAGCTGGGAAGAGAAAAGGGATCTACCTCCACAATCTGCCCCAAGTCATCCACATACATTTTCTCTGTCTCTACCAGTTCACTCAAGACATACCTGGGAAGAGAACAGGAGTGCACAATGTTGATCTAGACACTTCCTCTCTACTGGACTAGAAGCCCCTTCATTACCACAGCCAACCTCAGAGGAAATTCCAAGTATCAAATACAAAATGTGAGGGATGATTCTCTGGAAGTTGCACAACTGCGGCGGGGTGGGGTGGGGTGGGGGGGAGCCAAAGGGAGGGAGAGTGTGGAGACACTTACATACTCCTTTCCAGAGCCTTCTTCTTCTGTTCCTCCTCACTCTCAGGGGCCTGGGATAGGGTCTCCTCCTCAGGTGGCTGGAAGGAAAGAACATCCAGAGTAAGCAAATGGATGCCTTTTGGGGAGCTGTGCGGATCCATTTCTTCGTACCTGTGTCTCATCTCCAGGGCCCTCCAACAATGTGGTCAGCAGGGTTAGTTCTGGCAGCTCCTCTCCCGTGGCTAGAGCAGGTTCCAGCATCCAGTTCTGGGAGCCAGAAGTCAAATGTCGGAGGTCATGGACAGTAGCTATGTCTTCCCAGTGACCAGTGGCCCCCAACCAGCCCTCTCTCCCGGGTTCCTTCATGGATGTCCTACATGCTTCTGTGGTGCTCCCTGCTCACCTCATATGGTCCAGCCTGACCACCGTCTGCCTCAGTTTCCACACTGAGGCAATGTTTGGAATGATCCAACCATCTTCTCAGGCCACTGACTGGCCCTGGGGGGCCCGGGGAACAGGGGCCAGAGCTGAGGCCAGAGCTGGGGCCAGAGAGGGCAGCCAGACCCGAAGCAGCAGAAGCTGAGATACTCCCCTCACTGCCAGCAATGGAATAGGATTCTAATGGGGAGTGAGGGGAGAAAAGGGGCCATAGATATTACTCTAGCTCCAGATACAGGGTCCCTGGGGAGCTCCCAGAGGCTCCTCTTCATAATGCTGAGCCCCCCTCCCCCAGTGCCCACTCTCTGGTCATCCTCATTTGGGTTGGCAGGGATAGCAAATTTCACCTTGGCACCCTTGAGAGGAAGGACAGTAAACACCTGGGTTCCCAAGGCCTGGAAACTTCAGTTAAATGTGGAGGTTCCCCCATATCCTGAACATGGGGGGGGCAGCCATCTGGGCAGACACTGGAGGCTAGGGGCGGCCATCTGCTCTCCTACAATCTGCCCCCTTCCAATGGGCACAGACCATTCCCAGAGAAGGTGGAGGGGGGGAGCCAAAAGCCCATCCGCCACCCCCAGACTCCTCCTCCACCAGTTGCAGTAATCACTATAAAAAGAAAAGACTTCTGCAGCCCATCTCCCCAACACATGCACAAACCCAATAGAGGGGGCAAGTGAGGAGAGCTCTTCAGGGTTATCTGCCCTGGGCTCATGAACAGAGGAGCTGTTATTTGTCATAAAGCCCCTGCTAGACCCCCATCCTCATTCCTGCATCCCTCTGTCCCTTTTCAGATCTGAAGTAGATTCTCAGCAACAGGATTTAAGGAATATGCAGTTCTAGGCCCCAGGGGATTGTGGATGGGTTTTTCTCATACCCAGTTGACTACAAAACAGAGAAGAGTCTCCTGCCCCTTCCCCAATGTCCTTAACTTGAACTGATAAAAATTTGGAGGCAGACGGGATCTTGGAGATCATCTATTAAGTCACTTTCCTGGAAAACACAGGTACAGGTTTCCAGTCTCTAAATCCCTAGGGCCAGGGCAATCCGAAGCCCTGAACCCTCAGCCCGCCCTCCCCCACTCAACACTGGGCCCCTGCGACCTCGAACTCACCACGTCCCCCCCGGGCGAAGCAGCAGCCGCATTTTGCCAGCACTTTTCGGATCACATGGGGACAGGCACAGCGACCCCCCTTGTGCCCCCCCCGCATGGCGCCCGGGCCCCCCCGCACCCCCCACCCGGGCCGGCCATGCAGGGGGAATCACGGGGGGCGGGGCGGGGACGGCGCAGGGCGCGCACCCCCCCTCCCTCCTACCCTGCTCCAGGCTGGGGGAGGGGGAGAGGGAGGGAACAGGGAGGGGGAGTCCAGGGGTAGGCGGAAGTCTGGTCTGGAGGAGGGCTGGGGGCTCTGCAGAGCGGGCGGCGCTAGGCCGGGCCGCTGAGCTGGGCGGGGAGTGTTTCCGGAACCCAGTCGGTGCGTGGCCCAGGGTCCAGATGTCCAGCCGGGAGGGGAGGGATGGTGGGGAAAGCTGGGCCGGGATGCGGCAGCCGCTCCAGCTCCGTCTCCGGCCTCTCGGGTTTGGGATGGTTCTAGGCCCGGGCAGGGAGGAGGCGGGGGGCCAACTCCCCGAGTCACTGGCGCTGCGCGGGTCCGGGCCGAACGGCGAGCCGAACAACAGGCCCGGCCGCGGTGCCGCCGCGGGGAGGGGCCTTTGCGGCCCAGCTCCGCCCTCTCTCTCCCATTCCCCCCACCAACCCCAGCCTCTGCCGCGCTCCAGCCCCAATCCCCCTCCCCCAGGCACCACCACGTTCCCACTCCACGTCCCCACAGCCTCCGCCTCTCCTCTCCAGCCTCGGCTCCCCCGCCTCGGGTTCCCCTCCCTCCTGCCTCTCGGGTTCCCGACTGCGGTGCGCTGGGTGGGGGTTAAGCCGGGCGGCGGGGTCTGCCCAGGTCTCCCCTCAGCCTCTGCGGCGGAGAAGGGAGTGGATGGATGGGCCTGGGTCTGGGAAGGCGTCCTGGGTGCTGGGACTGTCCCTAGCCGCGCAGGGGTAGACAAGCCTCCCCCCCCACACACACTTCGGGGGTGTGTGAATGGGGAGCTCTGTGGGGAACACAGCCCAGGTGCCGCCCTCTCGCCAGACCCTTCTTTCCTCCAGGCCCCAGGACTCCAGCCGAGGCTAATCACCAATTAAGGCGAAGTCCTGGAGCCTGGGCTGGCGAGGAGCCAGGGGTGGGGCGCGGGGACACTCCGCCTGCGGGGGCTCGGGACCGGCTGATGCGGGGGACACGCAGCGGACCAGAGGCGAGAAGCGTGGAACGTCTTGGCGATTAAATGGGTCTCATGCAGATTAGATGAGAACCTTTATGCTAATAAGCGCAGCATTATTTGAATTCGCCACTTTGCGCAGGACGGCAAACTGTGCCCCACCCCTCCCCCAGCTTCTTACCGGGCAGCGGAGCCCAGGCGGGAACCTCGCGTTCGCGCTCCCCTTTCTGATCCCCTTCGGTACCGTCAGACTGTGTCTCGGCCTCTCCTGGCCCTAGGGGGCTTCTCTTCAGGGGCTGTGTGGGCAGATTGGGAGTAAGGAAGCCGCCCTCCACGCCCAGCCTTGACCTCCCGCTTTCCCTTCTTCCTCCTGTCAAATCCACATAGTTGTAAAAGGGTCGCCTAGGCTGGGTTGGAGGGAGCGGTTCACCCAGACTAGGACTCTGGCTCTCTTTTGGAACTCTTAGATTCCTGCGACTGCCCTGCAGAATTCCTGCTTGCCGGTAAATTGAGTTGTGGGGTGCAGTCCCTCTTCAGGTCGCCTAAGGATACCCGACCCCACCGTGGTCCCCCTTTCTTACCCCTGCCTGCCCGGGTAGGGCGCATGCGCGCAGCATGCCCCCCATGACCCCTAGTATCCGGTCAGTGCGGCCAGGGGAGGGGCGGTCCGGGGGCTTCATGCTGGACCCCTACCCTGCTCCAAGTTTCAGGGCTGAGGGGGCGCGGAAGCTGGGGTCTCTAGGTCTGCGTGCGTCCGATGAGTTGCTGCTGCCGAATCCACCCCCTGCCCGGCTCCGCCCCTACTCCCACCCCAGCCAAACTTCTCAAAGGGGTAGGGTTGTTCCTTTCTCTACGACCAAAGTTCAACAACAAACAAACCCCTCTTAATCCCAATTCGGACGTGAGAGCTGCAGGAGCCCACTAAACACTTGCCTCTTCCCCAGGCGCTCCGGAGGCAGAGAGACTGGGGAGAAACTCAGGCATTGCCCGACCACCACCCCCTTCCCCTTCTCAGCAGGCCCTGCTCCCCACCCCACCCCCACCCGGGTCCACAAAACTGAACGGGTGTGGCATGGAGAGTTGCATATTTTACTTTATTTTTATTAAATTAAAAGCTACAGTCTGGCGGCGATTCCAGAACAGGGTAAGGAGGCTCCTTATAGGGGGCAGAGAAGAGCGGGAGACAGACTGACAGAGACGGTGACACAGGAGAGAAAAGACAAGGTTAAGGTAGAAAGGGGACTGATTCTGAGGAACACACAAGGCCGGCTCCTTGGGGGCTCACACCGGCCCCATTCCCCCTCCCCCACACCTAAGTTCAGCAGTGGGGAAGTCTGTGGGGGGCAGGGGGCTCAAGAGACCCTCCCCCCCCCCCCCCCCAGGTCCTTTCTCAGCTTAGTCACTGGAGCACAGCACATACCAGAAAAAGCCAAGGGCAATGGAGGGGGTAGGGAGACTGGGAGTATGTACACAGGGAGGAGGGGAGCAGAGCCTTCTGCCAGAAGGGAGTGGCTCGCACTGCACTGAAGCACTTGGCCTGTGGGGGACAGGGGAAAGGACTGCCCCTCCCTCTCTGAACTTCTTCCCCAGTCAGACTGGTCCCCTATTTGTGTGGCAAGGGGGGCAGAGGGAGAGAGGAGAGGCTTCCGCTGGGTCCTATGGAGAAAGGCAAGGGCCTGGCAAAGGGGATGTCCTTCAGTCATCTGTGATACCCTTGGCTCTCAGCTCTTCTTGCACCCGGGTCAGGTACGTGGGGTCTGGGTACCCAAACCTGGGAGCAAAGAGAAATGAAGGTCAGGATTTGCTGTTCCAGCCTACTCATATTAGCCTCATGCTCACCTGCATTCTGGGTGCCCCATTCCAGCCCCTCCCCATCTCCCCTAAGGATATCCAAATCTGAGATAATTTAGCCCAATTCTGCTAATTTCCGTAGGTTAAGCTGGGCATAATGGAGATCAGGTTTAATGCAGAGAAACTGGGACAGAAGAGATGGTTGAATAGTTTGGGGGTGGTCCTCTCCAGTTAGGAGGCTCCAGGGGAGAGGGGGTCTATGTGGTTCCCTCGCTGGAAATGGAGGGGGGAGGGAGGAGCCAAGAGACGGAAAACGAAGAAGGGTCGCACAGCTGGGGTCCCCCTGTGCAGCTGGTCTTGTGGTGGATGTCGTTCCAGGTGATGACATTCGGTCTCCCTGTGGTCATGGACGTGCCAATAGTGAAGGT